TTAACAGGAGTTAGGCACTTGATGGTGGAGGGTGGAATGTTCCATTAGAAACAGCATGTAAGAAGGCTGTAACTGGAAGGAACTTAGAGGAGTTTCAGAAAATGAAAAGCCAGTGGGGGAGATAAAAAGGATCCTGCAGAGCCAAAACATGCAGCTTCTTGTATAGAGCCTCAGGCTTGAAGCACAGCAGCTAAAAATTTGATGAACACAAGGACAAAAATGGGAAAACAGGAGACACTTGAAACTTTGAGGATTGACGTGGTCATTGCTGTACTAATTGTATCTCTATTAGCTGAATGCCATGAACCCTTTATGTTTGAGCTTCAACAGCCAGGCTTCTGTAACATGCACACAAATACCATGATATATTATAGAGCAGTGGTGTTGAATTTATGCCACATGTGCCACAGCTAGGTGTTTGTTATCACTGAAAGCTCTAAAATGTGATTGTTCTCCCAGTATTGACATATGTATGTGCTTTCTTAACCTCAGCTGCAGGGATGGATATATTAACCTTATCCCGACATGTCATGATTGGGAGTTATACTCCCAAGTCCAGATGATGGAGCCCCTCACTCAGCTGCAAGATACAACCACAATAAAACACAGGATAGCAATAAAACACTTCATACTAGTCATTCACAAAGACCCAAAGGTTAAAGCTTTAGGAATTTGGGCCATGGGGACACTACAGGTATGCCACAGATGAGGCAGACCATTGAGACAGGTGTTAGGAATCCTGGGACCATATTGAATTTCACTTTGGATATTTAAGACTTTTAAAATAATTGCTATTCGTATATATGTCTATAATATTTCAGGGGTAGAGGATTTGGCTGTTTAGAAGATTTGATGAAAATTATAGTACTTTTCTCCAAAGTAATACATATCCATGTACACACACACACACACACACACACACACACACACACCTGTGACTTGCTATGAGGATAGAAACCTTTTCTATACTGTTATCTGGTTTTTTATTATGTTTTGCTTGGATTTATCTGTACATATATTTTATCCCAATGAATGGGCAGGTTTCCCACAAAGAACATATGCCTCTCTTTTACCCCCTAATAATGTATGTATTTATAGACTGATGCATGTAGTAAACATTTGACAATTTAGTCTTTATGGTTTACTAAGGACAGGCAGCTTTCAATACTCCATCCTCTACCCCACCTCCTTCTAACACAATAGAGATCCCCACAAGAGGACTTAGACTCTACTCTTATGTTCTGTTTACTTTCAGGTTTTAGCTTAAGTCATCATTTACATATTCTTCAGGCAAATATCTTCTTTTGGATATTTAGAGAACAAGACAAGGCCAAATAAAGAACTCTATAGCAAAAATACATCAGTAATAATTTAATGCATTGATGCCTTTGTTCTTTCTCTGCCTCTGTATCTTACCCCATACACCCACACCTGTAATCAGAACCCCTATGTGCCCCATCCTACAAGTTACTTCTCAAACTTCACTCCTTTCCTGACATGTGCTTATGAAAAAAATTTTTTTCAGGTTTAGTTTAATTTTTATTAATTTTATTGAGAAGTAAGAATGAGACAGTTTCAAATTACAATAATTAATACATTGCATATTGTTGTCTTTGTAATAGTTATTCATGGTGCAAGATGCAGACATGACACCATGTCTAAACATTATTAGTTCAAAACTTCCTTCTCACTGAACTAAGAGAAAGTAGCTGTATATCTCTGCTAACTATTTTATATATATATATATATATATATATATATTTATATATATATATATATATATATATATCTTTTTTCTCACTACAAAATGATCCTTCATTTATATCCCCCCTTTTTGCTTACTTTTGTCAGAGATGGTTATTCCATTGCCATTCATATATTGTAGGTGCATGAATTCAGCAAAGTAATCCAATATAGTCCAGTAGTCTATAATAGTAGTGGGTTATCCACATGACTGGCAGTGTCAGAAGTTGTTGACTTGAGCCTTTTACAGCTCAGCATATCAATACGGCTTTACTATTTTTTAAATTAATTTTATTGAGAAACAAATATCAACGAGACAGTTTCAAAATAGGTTAGTAGGACAGTTACAATAATTAATACATGCATATTGTTGTTTTTGTAGTAGTTATTCATAGTACAAGATGCAGACATTGATACCCTGTCCAAATACTATTAGTACAAATCAATCTTCTCATTGAATTAAGAGAAAGAAGGTGTATATCTATAAGATAACTTTTTTTTTTTTTTTTTGAGGTACCAGGGATTGAACTCAGGACCTTGCGCTTGCCAGGCAGACACTTATTCTACTGAGCTATCTCCCCAGCCCTGAAAAAAAATAATAACAGAAATAAACATAATGTTAATAGAATGGTGGCCATGTAGTTTTTACATTTATTTATTTAATCTTTCCCTCCCCACTATAAATCTAAAAGGAGCCACTTTGAATCCTTTGGAGCTTGGATTCTTCCCACCTACCAACCAACCTCTTTCCCTGATCTGTAGGCAGTTACAGCCACCTCGTGGCCATTTGGGGAAATCACAGCGTTTTTCTCAGAACATCTCTGGTGAGAAAACTTTACATACAATAGTAGTAAAGTTTTGGATCTGTGGGAAGCAGTGAAAGAGAAACCTGTAGATAGATCCTGCCACACAGGAGTCAACCAACCTGTCTCTTGTCTCCAAAGACACAACATTCTACCCACTAGTTATGACAGGCCAATTCCTTGACATTTGAGTTCATTCAATCAAAATTTATTGAGCAGCAACTGTGTGCCCAGTAGAGGGAATATAGTAAAGAACAAGATGGACTAAACTTCTGCCCTTAAGAGCTTACAGTGTACCAGCCAACTAACTGGTTACATTCAAAATTTTATGAAGTAAGAACTCTGAAAAATGCATAGTGGTGAAGATTTAACATTAACTTATTTTGAGAAATCAGAAAAGCATCCCTGAGAAAGAAACATTTAGGATTAGCTAGGTGGAAAGTGAAAGACTTTGGTGAGCAGAGAAAACAGTCTTCATGAAGCCACTGAGGCAAAAAGATACTTAACAAAATTCGTGAGACTCACCTTGGGTATCCTGGGACACTGGGAACAAAGAAGTTTTATAAGATATGCAAAGTAGACAGGATCTAACATATGCAGGATCTTTGCATTTAAAATATTCAAAAAGTAAATGAGAGAGAGCCACTGAAGAAGTTGAAAAATGTTTTGATTTTTCAGACTCAGTAAAAGGAGGGCATAAGTGGAACTAGGAAGAACAGTCAAGAAATTTCCCCGGCAGTCTAGACAAAAGATGATAACTGAGAGAAAAGAAGATGGATTTAGATCCAGAGATATTTAGGAGATAGATTCTACTTAGTTTTGGGTTTTGTTTTTGAGACAGTCTTGCTGTGTAGTCCAAGCTAAGGATGGCCTCAAACTCGTGGTTATCTTCCTGCCTCACCTCCACATATATGAAGAAAGGATGTTTCTGGCAAGAGATACTAAAGTATGATACATACTACAGAAAAAGGACAAGTTTGGGTAGAATGAACATGTCCCATAGGCATGGTCCCTGAGTCTGGCCTGTGAGGAACTGCACAGCTTTGGTTCTTAAATAGCTTAGGTTTTAGTTAAAGATACACATGGAACACTTCAAAATTGATTAAACAGGGCCTAAGAAATAGCTCAGCAGACTAAGTGCCTGCTTAGGCAAGCATAGGGTCCGGGATTCCATCCCTGGTACCACATGCTGCACTGGCCCCACCCCTGGTGCACTGAGTGGGCCACCGAGTCTGGGTATGGTGGTGCACGCCTGTAATCCCAGCACTGGGGAGGCTGAAAAAAGGAGGATCACTGCAAGTCCGAGCTGCGTAGTGAAACACTGTACCAAATACAAATACATTTTTAAAAATTGATTAAACATCAGTGATTAATTCAGATAATTCATGACTTCCTGCATTCTATGGGATTAGACACAACCTTAAGTCTCAGTGAATTCAGACACTGCAGAAGTCAACAAGGTTATCTTCAACTTTGTTCATGCTTCTCAGTCAGCCCCTCAGAAAACTCCCCTGCAGCCCACATGGTATCTCACAGGGACCACCTCTTGTACTGTGGCCCAGGGTCTCTGGCCAAAAAGGTAACTCTTAAACTCTCCCTGATTCATTTTTGCCTGCTGCTGCCAGGAAGATTGTTATTCTCAATTCTTGTCCCTTATTTAAAAGGAATCAAATGTAGCCATTGGAGGGTTTTCTGTCTTACTAAACTCTTCTCTTTACCTCTATCAAACCACTGTTTTAGAATCACCATTTCATAAAATCAACTGTTTTCCTCACCTTCCCTAAGTAGTGAAGCCCATGGGTGGTGGTTGGGGGAGTGCTTCCTTTGCCTCTCTTATCAAAGTCCCAAGCTACAAGCCCTTTCCCACTCTGTATTTAACTTTAGTCAATAAAGTTCTTCTTTGCTTCAAAAAAGTTAGAAAAGAAATTTTGCTGTGGGATTAACAAAGAAGCAGCCTTAATAGCTATTGCTTGGCTGACAGTCTTCCCTGCTCCCTCTTTACCCCTGGAATACTGTGCTAATTAACTCCAATGTAGTGTGTGATAACACAATAGGTCTATGGTTTCCCACTGTGCAACACACTTAGGACAAACCTATATCCCAAATACTTATTCTGGGAGCAGTGGTTACTAATGTAAGCATGAGGTCAGACATTGAGACAGTATCTTTGCACTGAAAAAACATGATATTTGAAGCTAGGAAGACTTGGACTTGCATCCTAGTTACTAACCAGTTGCCATTGTGCTACTGACACTAAGTTCAAAAAACTTAGCTGTGAAATAGTGTTAGTGACATTAACTTTATGGAATAGCTGTAATAAAAAGAATGTATAAAGCATCCAGCATAATATCTGCATTGAATTATACAACCTTTTTTTCCCCCTGTGTCTAAGTTGCCCAGCGCTCTTCTCAAGGGAGATAAGCAAATTTTGCATGATCAATGATAGTTATTTCCTTTTTTCTCCCTATTTTTGTCTTTGTAAATCTCATATTCTCCAGCCATTTCATTTCCATCATTGGCAAAGATGTTCTTCCATTCCCTCATCCCTAGGAGGGACTTTTTTTACTATTAAAAATTTCGACCTTAGCTCCATGACTTTTCTTCTTTTCATCTCCCTATTCAAGATTCTGTGTCTTCTTTTGTCATTCCCAAAGATCAGTTCACTTCTAGCATCCTATTTTCTCAGAGCAAATCATAAAGGATCTGGGGAACAGGATTCTCATTCTTCATAAGGACTGGCCAAAAGCCAATTCCAAGAGGAAAACTGAGGTCTACACCCTGGCACCCCACACTCTGACCTCTTCCTCAAGGCACAGCAAAAAGCAAACTCAAAATGTATTGATTCTACAAGAGCACACATCTTTCCTATAGCTCTGTGAGGTCATCATTGAAGTAGAGCAGTACTGCAGGTGTGTGGAGTGTGCTGTCCATATTGAGATAGTCAAACTCTTCCTCCTCATCCCGGATCCCATTTTCTTCCAGAGTACAATTCATGTTCAGGTTCTTGCCTTCATATTTCCATGTGTAACTGGCAGCATGTGCATTATAGGGGAGATAGCGGTGTAGAATTTCCCACATTGACTCCAGAGCCCCCACCTGAAGAACACAGAAGCAGCCTACCTCCAGAATCTGGACGGAACACACACACACACACACACACACACACACACACACGGGAAGGGGGACACCCAGTATATGGCAGCTGGGATCAGAATGTCTCCTTTGCCTTTTTTTCCCCTCCACCAGGGGTTGAACTCAGGACAGCAAGGAAGGCACTTATGCCACTAAGCTATAGAATGTCTCCTTTGATGCACAGCAGCTTGAACACTGTACAGTCCCTGAAATACAACTGAGGTTCCAGCATACATTGAAGTATAAGGGATGGCCCCAAAGGGTCAAAACATACATACACATACACACCCTTGCAATAGAGTAAAAGTCCAACTGCTGTCGAAAAGAGTATAAGAGTTTCTGAGGATCACCACCAAGACACTTCCTAGCACTTACGGAAAGTCTTTTGTACCACTGTGACCCAGACACACCTAGAATTCCCAACACTGGAGACCTGGGTGGTCTGCTTTTCTCAATCAGTGTAAAGAAAGAAAACATAGTAACTACCCAATTTGGGAAACTGGTGGTCAGGATCTACCTGCTTCCCAGTTCCCTCTGTCTAACCAAATCTCACCCATGCACCAACTCTCACCTCCAGTACGTGCTCCTGCGACGTAAGCGTGTTAACAATACAGATGTTCCGAGTCTTGGCAGACAACCGCCCCACCTCATATTGAGACTCCTTCCACCAGGGCTTCCCAAAATCATTAGCCCAGTCGGAACGCGGCAGCTGAGGCGGGACGTGAACGAAGCGGCCCCGTGGAGTGCGGTACCTCAGGCAACCGGTTAGCGGATCTATGTGCTTGCGGATCTTTAAAATAGGGTTTGGGAATGGGAGTTGTCGGCGCAGTCACAATTTCAAGGTTCTGGCTATTCCACGTTTCCTCCCCTTCCCAACTCTCCCCGTTCCAACAAAACTCACGTCTCTGGTTTTTGGATCAAACCAGTGGCTGATGTCCTGGCCTGCAACTTCCACGATGGGTTTCAGCAGCAGGTTCCCTAGGAACGAGCAGCCGCCGTCAGTGCCTGACGCCCAAGAACGCCTCCATTCCCTCGGCATTCACCTCACCCATGGCTCAACGTGTGTCCCTTACCCTTATACTCTTGTGCCAACGGGGTTAGGTTGTAGACACATCCCAGGTAAGACACCCAAAGGTCTTCAGGCCGGTTATGTTGTGCCACCTCCGCCGGGGTGAAATACCGTCGCCGGAAATACTCAAAATCTGGCCCAGCCACTAAGCCTCGGCGCTCCATGGCTCTGGCTCTTTTGACACCAGGTCCCTTGGCTGTTTCCTCTCTCTTCAGCACAAACTCACTACAGCATGCTCCCTGCCTTGGAGGCTCTTAGCGGAGTGCGTTTATTTGCTGACATGGAAACCATTGTCCTTTTCCAGCCACCGTCAACTAGGGTTCAATACAGTACGGGTGCGGTGGATAGTGGGCTGCCTGTGCTCACGGGAAATGTAGTCTAATTCCAACATCGAGTATATTAAAGTATGGAGTTAATGCTGGGAGAAAGGGAGCACTCCGTTTTAACTCAGGGGCCAGAGATACATGGGATATGTAGGAAAAAATTATCTCCTGTGACAAAAAAAAAATCAAGATAAGGGGGGAAGGACAGAAGAAGGTATTGTTATAAATTCCAGGATTTGTTAAGGATGTGTAAGAAACTACAAGTAAACCTCTCGCGATGTTTTAAGACGTCGGGTGTACTAGGTTCCAGTGAGCCATAATAGACAACTCGCGAGATTTCTGCTAGTACCCAAGAGACTATGAGTGATCTCGCGAAAGGAAAGACGTCTGAAGGGCTCGCGAGATCTCACAACACCCGACCGGAAAGGTTCTCGGGAAGTTGAAGCGCCCAGAGACAACCCCTGAGCAAATGGCTGGGGCTGGGCCGACCATGCTACTACGAGAGGAGAATGGCTGTTGCAGTCGGCGTCAAAGTAGCTCCAGCGCCGGGGTTAGCACGGGTTCGGGTTCAGAGATTGAGGAGCAGTCGGGCACCAAGATGGGGGTACGGAGGGGGAACTGCAGCTCCCGACAGCCTCTAGGCTTCGTGTGAGTGCCCCGCGGGATGCCGGGAGCTGTGGTTCCGCGGGTGGCCGGTCGGTCTAAGTGCGTGTCCTGCCCCGTGCAGGACTCGGACGGGGAGCATGAAGATTCTCCTGCTGCGCGTGCCCGGCAGCAACTGGAGGCACTGCTCAACAAGACTATGCGTATTCGCATGACAGATGGGCGGACACTAGTCGGCTGCTTCCTCTGCACCGACCGCGACTGCAATGTCATTCTGGGCTCAGCACAGGAGTTCCTCAAGCCGTCGGGTTAGTGCCTAGGGGATACACACCCATCTGAGAATATGGCAAGACGTTTCCCCTTCAGGGCCTGGCTCTACCCCCTTGTTTTCTAGGGCTGGTTTTTGTGGCTCAGAAGGGGAGAGGTCGATACTGGCTTGTTTCACTGATGCTTTGACCCTTCTTTCCAGATTCCTTCTCTGCTGGGGAACCTCGTGTGCTGGGTCTGGCCATGGTACCAGGACACCACATCGTTTCCATTGAGGTGCAGAGGGAAAGCCTTGCAGGGCCCCCCTATCTTTGACCACAATCGTGCATGTCTTTGAGACTTAATTAAATTTCTGACAGAAGTGTCTTGTGTGTAACCTGGATGCCAGGGCAGGAATGGCACATCCTATCCTTAAGAGGAAAGGTTTATCTAAGGTCGGGAGCATTCTCAGTACTCTTAACCCTAACCAAATGTCGTGGATGCCAAAGCTGCTTTCTACTTAGAAGGTGGGGATGAGGGACAGGCTGAGCTGTAGATCAACAAGCCCTAGGGTGGGCCCCTGCATCTTCCCTCCCACCCTGCTGATCCAGGATTGTGGCCGGAGGGGATGGAGGGGGTGTCATCCTGCTCCGGAAGGGCCATTGTTTCCCACTCCGGCCTGGCAACACTGAGTTCCTCTAGGCTGAGGTCAGAGAACAGACTTGGGTCCCCAAGGAGAGCTGGACAGGCAGCTCAAACAGGGCCCCTGGACTCTGGTGTTGGGAGGTGACACAGAGGTCAGGGACACAACTCTGGGGTCTGACCAGGAAGAATGGACTAACGAGATAAGGGAAGGCCAGGAGGCTGAAGGATGCTCCAGCCTGTGCATTTGTACTCTGGGAATGTACCCTTGGGAATTCATTTCCTGCTCCTGGGCATTGGGCAGGAATGATGTTTTTATGCCACCCCTTTGTTCATGGAGCACATTCAGTTCAAAAATTCTTTATTGATGTTTGCTCACTTCTCAACTGTCCTTCAGAACTGTAAATACAAGTTGTCTTATTGACTAAGGATGGAAGGGGTGTGTGTGTGTGCAGGGTCCAGCCCAGATAGGATGGATGTGAGTAATAAGAAAATGGGTTTTCTGGGGACATGGGAGTTTTCACTACCACTGGGTCCACAGAAGTTGCTGTTCCCCAAAGGGATGGTAGGACCCAGCTAGGGAAAGGACTGAACAAGGAAGAAGATCACAGGCTTCATCTCAAATCCCTGGGTAGACAGGAAGGAAGGGCAGACATAAGGTCGTTCTTGAGTTGAGGCTTCTCAGACCCAGACCTTTCCTGGTGTGGGAAGAGCTGGGGCCGCTGGTGAAGGCCGAGTTTGCCTGGTCTGCAGGGTGCCCTGGCGCCGCCGATAAAGGGCTCGGCTGTAGGGCACGAGGCAATCAGCCAGGCGGAGGCGGAGGCAGAGACGGCGGTAGCTGGCCAGGGCAAGCACAAGCAGCGGCACGAGCAGCAGGAATCCGGTGACCAGCAGGGCTGTGAAGCCCGGGTCCCGCAGGTGTGCAGTGCATGGGGGTGCCTGGGAGCGCAGGAACTGTGGGAGAAGAAGAGCAGTCAGGCCCAGGCCAACCTGGGCCACGCTGCCGGGATGAAACAGCCCAGTCTGACAGAACTGGTCGCCTGCAGACACCAGCATCGCTACACAGGAAAACCAACCCACACGCACACCCTGGGGTGTAATGCTCACCTGGGAGTGACAGAGAAAGCCAAAGCCCAACATGGTGACAGCAGGTAGCAAGATCGTCCCCAATACCAGCGCGAGCAGGAGAAGGTTGAAGGCAGCCACCAGCAGATTCTGAGCCGTTACCAGCACAGCGCAGGCCCAACAGTCCAGGGGATCCCGGGGTTCTGAGCCTCCACCGAGAACGGGTCGCTGTGCACCAGGGACATCCGCCATGGCCTGGCTGGCTCCCGCCCGGCCGGGTCTGGGCGCTTTTAGCTGGCTTTCCAGCCCCTCCCCCGGCGCAGCCCCTCCCCCCCAATCCTGGAATGCAGCTCTAGGATTAGACACCCCCATACCAAGGAGGGACTAGAGCTCTGGACATTCCACAGGCGCCTCCGGGGAGGGGCTCGTCCTGGCTAGGGTCTGCCCCTTACGTCCCCATCAATCACCGTCTTGGGGCCCTCCCCCGTACCCTGCCCTGCTATCACCACCAGCACGTTATCAAAACAGGGGTTTTTCTGCTTTTATTTTTAATATTAATATTCTCACACAAAAATCACCAAAAATGAGGGTAGGATTGGGAAGACCTCTCTGCCCTTGGGGCAGAGAGACAGTGCAGTGCCAGGGGGTAAGACTGTAAACTCCCCACCCTTCCGCAGCCCCAGTGGGGAACCACTCCCCCCCCAAAGAGAAAACCCCAGAGAAACGCCCCGAGGTGTCCCTGCCCCAGTGAGACCCTGACCCTGGCCTGGGCTGTTTCACACTTAAAAAGAAAAAGAGATGGGGATGAAGGTCCTTATTTTTAAAACTGGCTGGGACTAGGGAGGACAGGGTTCCTTTTCCTCATAGTTCTTTCTTTAAAACTTTTAAATGTATTTATTTATTCATTTATTATTATTATTTTTTTTTACAAAATACCATTTCAGTTCCCACTTCTTCCCCTACAGTACAAGGAGTCGCTCACCCTCAGGCAGAGTCGGGGATGGGTCGGGAATGGGGAGACTGGTCCGAGAAAGTGCAGGACGTAGGGGAGGAGAGCGGGTTTGAGCACCATGAGAGCCCACTGGAGCCGCGGGCAGGCGAAGACGGACAAGCCGGGCAGGCCAGACACGGGCTCAGAGATAGCCCGGCGGTGGGCGGTCCCGGAGGGTCGGGCAGGATGGCTTAGGGGTGTGGGAGGTCGGGTTTTCCCAAAAATGAATAAATAGAGGTGAGTGGGACTGTTATAAATTAAAAATCAAAAACAAAAAAGGACAAAAATACAAATCATAACAAAATGAGTAAAACAGACATGTACAGGGGTCACAGCTAGCATTGGGAAGTAAAAAAGGAAGTTCTGGGGTGGGGTAAAGCCCATAGAAAGAATCTCATTAAAAACCTCGGCTGCCATAATCTATGTACATACACTAGCCGCGTGCATCTGCGCCAGCCGGCGGGCGGGCGGCGGCTGGCAGGCGTGAGGGAACCCGTATGTGACCCCCGCCGCCGCCGGAGCCTGGTCCTTGTGTCTGTTGCTAGAAAGGCCAAAGTCGGTGAGGGGAGGGACTGATGGGCGAGGGGCTACCGGCCCCCTCCCGGTCTCCCTTTTTTTTTTTTTTTTTTTTTTTTTTTTTTTTCCTCTTGTTTAAAAAAAAATTTTTTTTTTCTTAATAAATTAAGCGAGGGGAGCTGCCAATAGGGTGGAAGGGCTGGGCCCGACCCCCTTCCCGGCCAGAGGCGGGACCTAGGTCCAGCCCAGGCGTGTGCTGGTGGCCTGCATCGCCCTGTGGGGCGGGGCGTCCGGCCTCATCGCGACGTGCTGGCGGGGGCCTGCGGGGAGAAAGTGGGCGCGGGCTCAGCGTCTGCCTGTGCTACCTGGGCCGCCAGGCCGCCCCCGGCGCCCCCTCTGGAGCCCCTCGCCCGAGGCCCTGGCCCTCACCAGCGTGAAGGCGTCATAGGCCTGCGCCAGCTCCTCGGTGCGGTACTGCTCCAGCACCACCACACCCTGCAAGCCGGCGCTTCGGCGCCGAGCGCAGCCCTCGCAGTGCACCAGGTACGTGTTGCGGCTGCCGTTCTCACTTGTCACGAACAAGATATTGAACACCTCCACCTGGTGGGGAGGAAGGGATGGTCACCTGGAGAGCCGGTTATTACGGTCACCTCTGGAGCAGGGAAAAGGAAAGGGCTACACTTACGTCACACTCATTGCAGTAGTAGGCAGGCTCATCCTTGACCCGGCCCTGATAAGCAATTTTTTTCCCTGCCCGCACTAGGCTCTCTCGCTGCACCTGGCAGTGCTTCATGGACTGAAGGAGGCAGAACCTGCGAGGAAGAAGCAGGAGAGGCTAGAGAAAGACTGCCTGCAGACTGGTTGGGGCAGGAGGAGCAGAACAAGGGGTCTGTAGGGGTTGGAACTCCACCACTGAGACTGCAGTGCCGTAAGACCTGGGGGGGGGCTGCCTTCTTCAAGCCTACATTCTCTATCCAGGCATCTATAAATTTTAAGTGGCTTTTGTCTATTTAGACCATTGAAAAATAAAAGGTTCTGAGAGCAGAAACTCTTGTCAGCTTACCCAACACACTGCAGGCACTTAGCAGACCAAGAGAGAGGTGAAAAATGGGGGGGGTGTCATACAGGGTGAACAAGGGCAGAGGGCAGGACAAGTGGAAGTGAAATCCCCCCAAACAGGACCCTCACTTGATCATCTTGAACAAGTCGGGGTCGCTGATTTTGACTGTTCGAGCCACATTCCAGGACACATGAATCATGGGCACAATGGATTTGACGTTCTTCACCTCGTTCCACTCATATCGTTCCAGGGCCAGCTGGTACTGATAGGCTGTGGGCCAGAGGGAAACACTACAGGATTCTCAAAGGGGCCCCAACCACCTGGGTCCAAACCCTTCCAGCACAGCTGGCTATCTTCCAAGCCCACCCCTCCCCCACCAGACTCACTCTGTGTGGCCCCACACCCTCACTACACCATGACCGGGCCCAACACTCACCAGTGAGGGGCCCCACGTTCCAGGCAATATTGTTGCACCAGCCAGTGGCCTGAACCCAGTGCACAGTCCCTGCATTAATCCACACAAGGTCTCCTGGGCGCTGCACAAAGCGGTATACAGGGATATTGGAAGCATAGAGATCATCTAGGATAGGCCACCAAGAACCTGTCAAATAGTCCACACCGTGCCTGCAGGGTGGGAAACCAGTCAGGTAAGAACCTTGGGGACCCAAGGTTGGGGCTGTGACAAGGCAAGGGGATGGTACACACCGATCACAGAAGGCACTGATGGTCTCCCAGTAGTGCTCATGCACTGCAAACCATTCACAGTCTCCTGGGCCAATGTTAATATTGACAGAGCAGAAATTGTTGTTCTCTTGGTGGCCTGCAGGTGGTAACAGAGAACAGAGATACCAGGATTGATCAAGGCCTATGGAGTTCGCCTTTCACAGTAACCCTAGCCTTTGCTGCATCAGCATCACCCCCACCTCTCCTGCATTTCCCAGGTCTGTGCTCCAGGTAAGGTACGCACCTGGCGTTCGGCTGCCAGGGACCTTCATGTACAACTGGACAGTGTTCATGCCCAGGATGGTGTGGCCCACGTGGCTGAGCATGTTGCCCGTGGATGTTACCCGCATGAAGGCAGGCAGCTTCAGCAGCTCCTGTAGCTGGGGCTTCCAACTGCAGGGACGAGGGGGCAACCACTGTGAGAAGGAACCTGTGTGTGCTCAGTAGCACTCCTGCCCTAGCTTTGCTGCCCCTGCCCCACTGACCGCTTGGCATCAGACAGGTCGATGTTAGTGCCAAATTTGATGATGTGATGGTTCTTCGGGTCTGGTGCACTGCTGCTGGGGTGAGAAAATACAACACTGGTTGATGGAGAGCCCATGGATGAAAAGAAGTCGTGCCAAAAAGCAGCACAATTGTGACATACCTAGGAGGGGTTCCTGTGGTGCTGTCGGGCTCCTCTGACTCCTCATCCTCACTCTCCTTCTCCTCCTGCTCAGCCAGAGTAGGACGCAGGCTTGGGTCAATGACTCTTCCAGAGCTCTCCCACCATAGCTTGACTCCAGCAGCCAGCCCCTACCCAGGCTCACCCCTCACCTGCAGTGACTCCTGGAAGGACGAGGCCTGGTACTGTGCATACTTGGCAATGGTGGTATGGGAACGGGAGCTCTCACAAGGCCAGATCTGTCGTGTGCCAGTCAGGTCCCAGTTCTCATCTGAGGGCTGCTGCACCTGGGTGCGCACCTCCACAGTGTGCTCACCACTTGCCTCCACCAGCGTCTTGGTGGAGAAAAGGCCCAAGTCTGCAAGGGAGGGTCAAGTAGGACATGGGACAGAGGCAGAGGATGGAGCCCTGAGGATCCAGCTCATTCTTTTCTCCCCTACTTCCCAGGCCTCTGACAAGGTAGACAAGAGGCTTGGAAACAGTCCTCGAGAATGGACTAGAATGCCAGCCCCACAAGGCCAGAAGGGCTGGTCATATAGTAGGCTATGTGCTGCTAAGGAGACATTCAGTAACTGACCAGCTTTTGACTTTTTATCATCTGAACCACTTAACCAAAACAAAGCCTAGAATGTGCTTCAAATAGCTCAGTGTGGCGTATACCAGTATAAAAGAAACCCAAGCGTAACTTCACATTTGTGTAGTTTCCTCTACGTTTATGTTTGAAGATTTGTACATTAAAAGGTTCAAAAAGAGGCTGGGCATGATGGTGCACATCTATAATCCCAGCTGAGTGTGGTGGTGCCTGCTTGTAATCCCAGCACTAGGGAGGCTGAGGCAGGACTGCCATGAGTCTGAGACCAGCCTGGGTTACAGTGAGTTCAAGGCCAGTGCGATGTGCATAATAAGGCCATATATATATATATATATAGCCAAAATCATGGATCTTCAGGGGTTGTGGACAACCTGTATTCTCTTTTTTAATCACCAGGAAAACCAGAAGTGATTCTAACCAGGCCCCAATATATATACGTACCTTTCCCACTTGCCCACTACAAGAAACGTGACATACGGGAGAAAAGTAGTAAGCCACCTCAAACAGCCTATACATGGAACAGGTGAGCTCATTTCAGCCACTAATCTAAGGCCTCAAGTATAGGGGTTCTCACAGGGTTATACCTACCTTTCAGGTCCTCATAACCCTCCCTCTACTTTTGGCCTTCCATACTTACTGAGCCGCAGGGACCCTGCCAGGCCCCGGATCACGGTGATAGGGTTTCGAGGGTCTGTACAGAACTGCAGCAGCACCGGTGAGAAGGCATCTCGTTTGCTTTCCAGCTGA